ATTTGTCATAAAATATAAGAAATAGGTCATCTATAGTTGATGTATATAATGAGTGTTACGTTTATATGTCCATCTTGCATGTTCTTTAGGTCATGTTCATTGTTCATTGGTCAATGTTCAGTTGTCAAAGTTTTGTCTATTAATGGAATACTGTTAGTAATCAGTCAAGCATATTTGGTGTATGGAATGATTGTAATGTATACATGTCTTTCTGGCAGGGTTCAGTTGATCTTGACCCCTTTTACATTAATCGATGATTATGTTGATTCTATTTGAAACTTAAAGTAAAACCTCCATATTGTATTCTTTCGACATTATTATAATAATGATCAATAAAGCAGGATTTAAATGTTACTTAAAGTTCCATGACTTCACACAAGAACTTCATATGGAGTATGAATAGAAGTTATCATTAGTTTTTAACTTAGTTTTACGCTATAATGATGACATAATCAACAATAAGCTACATAGAAAACAACAGATGATATCATCTTCTTGTGATTGTTTACTTTTTTATTACTCTTTTTATAATTAGACACGATGAAGTCTAATACCATTTATGGCATGATAGTGAACATTCTGTATACAAAATATTTCATATAAATATAAGATATGGTATGATTGCTGATAGAACAAGAGACCAAATAACAAAGAAATTAGCAACTATATTTTAACGTGCGGCCTTCAAAAATGAGCAAAACTCATATCATACAGTCAAATATAAAATACTCCAAAACAAAAAATGTAAAACATATCAAACGAAAAAACAGGATTGATATACAAAATAAATTTTTCTATCACTATTTTAAAATCACTATTCCATGTAATTTGTAATTGATCCGACTTTATTTGCAAACCCTGCATCTTTCACTTTGTAAAAACAGGGTTTTTGAAACAAGCAAATAAAAAATAATATAAAGACACACCACCTCATAATCAGTCTTGATTTTGAAATTATAATTTTCATACAATTACATAACATGAATAATATATCTGTACTATAGAAATGTTCACTCTATCAAAATGGCTTGCACGTGAACGTAATTCAGACTTAGTCCAGCGGATCTAAGAATAATTGAGCACTTTATGGTAAAAGCATGAAGCTTGGAGTAGTGAAAGATTAAGGAGCATAAACAAAATGTGTATATGGAGCAACGGAAAAAAAATCCAAAATGGCTGCCAAATTAAAGATGGCCGACGTAAGGAAATGGGAATACAACATCATAAACTTCTGCCAATATGCAATAGCTCAGTACATATTACAAATAAGAAAATTGATTTCAGATATGCCAAGTACTGTTTTTCACAACTTTATAAATACATAAATAATCAAAATGGCGTCCAAATTCAAAATGGTACAGTAAAATGTCATATTCTGTATTGATATATGTACGCACTATCAATGTGGTATAGAAAGTTAACAAATTTGTGAAACTCATTTTGCGATGTAAACAATGGCCTAAAAATTTTTTATTTTACCCGGGGACATAGACAATATTTTAAAAATGGCGGCAATCAAAGATGGCATGGTCAAAATGACAGAATTTGACCCCTAAAACAATAAATATTTGGATACAAATGCAAATAACATATTATTCTTTTGAAAAAGGTGGCATAAACTATGAAATGATAATGACCGATACACACCATTCTATATGGCGTCTCTGACAAGGTCTAAATTTAAAGTTATAGAAAATATTTTTCTATTTACATGATTTACTAGCAATTACAAATATGTATGAAACCCTAGAAAGATACAAGACCAGTATTTCATTTTTCAAAATGGGATCATAAATGAAATGATGCTTCAAAAGTAACTACTTGGCATAACAATTTTATAGAACATATTCAAGTTATTGATAATTAAAATAAGATCCAAATGCCAGATACTAAAATTTAGCACTGTCTCAATTAGTGAATAGTCAACATGATGACGGTGGTCACTAACGGTAGAAGTGTCTCTCTTCACTGTCTACTGTCCATTTACGAAATCCTGTGCATTTCAATGCTGCTTTCAAGCATTTAAAATGCCCATCGACATCCTTTCTTACAGTAGATGAACTTCTGACTTGACATTGTTGCTACTGTATGCCCTTAACAGAATAATCAATGTTTTGCCAACTGAATAAATCTGATGGTTGCATATAAGGATTTGCAACTTAAACAATACTGTAACGGCCTCGAATTCCAGTAAAATAAAGCAGAGTATGTACCATATCTGAATAACAATAAAATTATAAAATTAAACAGATCAAAAACAGAAGGCATTTGGTTGGGAAAACATAGACACTGTAAAGAAAAATATGAAAACATCAACTTTACAGACAAACCAGTGAAATGTTTAGGAGTTTTTTTTGGTTGTAATAAAAATGTGTGTCAAAAACTCAATGCTGAAAAACAATTAGAAAAATCTGAGAAAATAATTAAAAACTGTGAGAAAAGAAATCTAACATTATTGGGAAAAATAACAGTTATCAAATCACTGATTCTACCCAATATTACTTTTTTAGCATCTGTTTCACACATAGAAAAAGAATATATTGATAAATTTAAAAAAATTATTTATCAATTTTTATGGAAAAGCAAAATAGAAAAAGTTAAACGTAAAGTATTAAGCTATGAATTGCTAGATGGTGGTCTAAAAATGATTAACATAGATAAATACATAGAATCCATCAAAATTGGATGGATTAAAAGATTAATATATGGAGATTCAGCCAACTGGAAAGTTATACCATTATTTTATTTTAATAAATTTGGCAAGAACTTCCTTATCTTTCATATGAACATTGATGGCATTAACTCAATTCCAGGTTTAAATAAGTTGCCAGAATTTTATTTGAATGTAGTAAAAGCATGGGTAAAAAACAAAAAAATAGAGCAGCCTAAAAACTTTAAATCTATTCGTCAACAAGTAATTTGGGGAAATCAATTCATTAAGATAAAAAAAAAGTCTTTTATTTCAAAACTGGATAAATAGCAATATCATCTATGTAAACGACATTATAGATGAAAATGGTAACATATTGGAGAAACATATTTTGCAAAAGCTCAGGATTAAATATAATTGGATGTCAGAATTTTCTCAATTGAAGAAAGCCTTTCCAAACGAATGGCTTAATATTTTACAACAAGAAAATTCAAAGAAAACTAAAGTAAAAACAAAGTATGTTTTATACATTAAGAATAATTGTAATTATATAGAAAAATTAGAAAATTTAGACACTAAAAAAATTTATAATATATTTATTCAGAATGAGATTGAAATGCCTGTTGGTTTTAACCGATGGAAAACAGTGTTAAAAATTGAGTATATTCATAGTTCAACATGTAATATATTAAAATTTGTTCATCATTATTTGAAAGAAAATAAGTATAAAGTGTTTCGTTGGAAACTGTTACACTTTATTCTACCTTGTAAAACTTTATTAAAACAGTGGAATATCTGCAATACTTCAAATTGTCATTATTGCAATACCACTGAGGATTATGATCATATGTTTCTGAAATGTCACTTTCTTGATGACTTCTTAAGTAAAATAAAAAATCTTCTTGAAAAACTGAATATTGATAATAATATTCTAACATTGAAGAATTTAGTATTCGGTTATAAAATTAATGATGAACAATATTATGAAATCAATTATTTGATTACATTAATAATGTTTTGTATATATAAAGCTAATTACATGTTTGAACAGAAAACAGAATCTATAAATGTGTATGCTGTATTTAAAGCAGAATTTATGTATAGTTACAAACTGCAGGCAAAATGTAAGAATACAAAATATAAATGTATTCTAGATAAAACTGCCAAATTGTTAAAATAATTTCTTTGTTTGAGAAGTATATGATCTAGCAAAAATAAATGGATGAATAAATTAATAAAAGAGAAAAATTTTACGAATTACACATCTGGAACTGATCAAGTAATATAAATTCTACCTTTCACCGCTACTGTACATGTACATGTGATGATTGACAAACAAATGATTGATAACGAGACTATTTACCGTTACAAAAAGAAGATTAAAAAATGAAATATTTATTTAATCTTAATCTTCTTTATACTACAGAAAAATTTTAATTCAGACATACCTGTGAATATGCTATATCACATCTGTTTATTTTTTTATTTTTTAAGTCATGGCCGGTGTGACAATATTTGTTTCAAAACCAGGAAGATGTTTGATAGAAAAACAATTCACCCGTTTACGGAGGAAATATGAAAAATTTCCGGAAACAGTACCCAAAAATAAATTATTGCTAGATGATATATATAGTAAATTGTAAAACAAATAAGTACCATTGATATATACTTGTTAATTTCATTGCTGATAATTTTATAAATTAGCTGTTAAATTAAAACTAATGTTAATTTAATATAATGATGCTTACCAGAAACAACCCTGGATTTCTGGTATTAACAAACAGGGACTCTTTACTGGAATGCTGGACTAGTGTGAAGTACATTGCTAACAGCAAAAAGTGCAATTAGTTGTTGTTGAATAAAAAAAAAAAAAAAAAAAAAAAAAAAAAAATTATAATGACTCGCTAAAAATGAATCTTGACATAATATTCCAAACAGTCTTACAAATTACCCTTGGCTGTATCAATATAGAGCTAAAAAAAGAAATCGAGAATATGTATATATAATTGACGAATAAAATTAACTCTGACTTCTCAGACAGATAGCAATGTTTTTCATGTTAATCATCACCAATATCAGAGTTAAAATACCAATGCACTAGGCCTTAGTATATCGACTTTACTTAAGGTTACAACACTTATTGAAGTATATACGATCGCAAAACACGGGGAAAGACGGCCCGTTCTATGATAAAAGTATAGCTTTTCATTGCCCATGATTTAGTTCTGCTAGAAAGATACAACATTTATACATTTTCACATGGTTGGTAAAACCATTAATGCTTTCACAACTAATGCTGATTTCATTTTTTTAAAATATACATCACTTTTGGCAGATGTATAAAGAAGGGATGTCAACAAGTACTCGAGTAATCGAGTATCGCCCGGTAGTACCGAGTATCGATTACCAAAATGATAGTCGACTATCAGATTTCTGTTAGAAAGTTGTTACTTTCTTAAGCTTAAACCAAAAAATATTTTTATTGAGAGCGCCTCCCGGGAAATTAAATATAAATCAAATATAATAAAAATTTAAATACAATTCGAATGTTTGCGTTTAATTGTCATTTAAAAATCCTCCAAACAGGGGAAGGATATTTTTGACCAAGAGCACTTTTCCAATGCTTACACCTGTGTGACGTCAAACGCGCGATTCTACGTCTAAGTTAATGTTAATCCAACCATGTCTGTCACGGTAAGGATCGGTACAAGTACTTAAAATCTTTCAATCTTTTATGGGTGTACTTTACGTAAAACCGAATAATAAAAAAAGCGAAATGAGGTTGTTAAATTTGATGTATGCCTTTTTGTGCTTCTTTGTTACATTTGTTTGTTTTTATAGTGATAAAGATGATAACACAATGTTGACTGCTGTGCCCCTTTTTTTCCCTATAAAATTTTTAGTTATAGTTAGATATAGTTAGTAGACTGTCACACTTTATATGAGGGATTGACCTTAATTTAGGATTGAGTTTACCTTCTTTTGTGTTTTGAGATAAAAACTAAACGTACTAAATGATAAGCAATATTAATAAAAGATCAACAGAACAGAGAATTTTGCCCCGAACTCTATTCTCGCCTATAATGTATTTTGGAGTGCCATTTGTTGAATATGCATAAAGACCAAGGTGAGCGACACAGGCTCTTCAGAGCCTCTAGTTTATGTATATCAATAATAGGCAATAGTAGTATACCGCTGTTCAAAAATACACGGTTACTGTATCTTCTTATTTTCATAGGAAACGAAGAACATCAACATGTTACAGATTGTAAGAAAACAACAGTACCAAAAGGACTATCACAGGATTGTACAACAACAGTACAGATAAAACGTCGGAAAAATGTTGAAGAAAAAAATCTGCGTTTATCAGATGATGAAAATGAAAATCTGAAAAAAGACCAATTACCAGTATCAGTACAGAAAGAAGTAGATATAAGCACTAGTTCAGAGGTTGAATCAATGTGTCAATTTATTGATGATTTTACCGACCAGGATGCACCTTACAAAGTCATTAAGAAGAAAACAAGCAGTGTTCAAATACCAACAAAAAGCATAATTGAAAGTAGAGATGATGTCCAAAATGTAGAGTCAGATACATCAAATAACCGCGAGGAGGAAAGGAAGCATGTTACTGATGACGACTTTGTAAATAAAACAAACAGAGCAGATGAAGACGAAAAACATCAACTTGCTACAGATTGTAAGAAGAAAACAGTACCAATAGGACTATCAAAAGGTGGTATAGGAAAAGTACAGATAAAACGTAAGAAAAATGTTGATGAAAAAGTGATGAGTTTAGCAGATGATGAAGATGAAAATCTGAAAAAAGACCAATCAACAACATCGTTACAAAAGGAAGTAGACATAAGCAGTTGTTCTGAGGTAGAAGCGATGTATCAATATATTGATGATGGTATCAACCTGGACGTACCTTTTGAAATTATAAAGAAGAAAACAGTCGTTGTTCAAAGACCTAAAAAATACATATTTGGATGTAGAGAGGATGTCCAAAATGTACAGTCAGATATATCAAAGTACCATGAGGAGGAATGGAAACATGTTACTGATGACGAAATGCTAGATAAAACATGTAAAACAAACATCACAGAAAGACTACATATAGAAGATAAGACCGAAAAACATCAACTAGCTACGGATTGTAAGGAAAATGCAGTTAAGAAAGGAGTATCAAAAATCAATTCAGAAAAAGTACCTATGACAAAGCGTACCGAAAATATTAACGAGAAAATTATGAGTTTTCCAGAAAAGGAAAATGAAAATAAGGAAATAGACAAATCACCAGGAACATTTTCGACTGAAGAAGACATATATAAAATTTATGACGCAGAACGACTGTATCAATTTATTGACAATGGTAACACCCTGGATGGACCTTCAAAATTTATAATGAAGGACACAACCATAATTCAAAGACCATCTACAGACAGATATGAAAAAGGAGAGGATGTCCTTATTGTAGGGTCAGATATGTTAACGAACCGTGAGCAGGATATGAACCATACGGATGATGACGAAATACCAAAAATAACAGGTCCAACAAACGGCACACAAAAACCAATAAGTGAAAATTTAGACGATGAAAAAAATGTTATACTTTTACAGACCACATCTGTTCGCGCTGGTTGTTCAGAACGAGATTCGTCAATGAATAGAAAAACAACTGATAAAGCAACGATAAGCTACTTGGCTCCATTGAAATCAAAAATGAATGTTGACAACAAGAATATCGATGATGAAAGGATAAGACACCGACCAACACAAACAAGTATAAAAGAAACAATTCAATTAACAAAAGAAATCAGTGATAACTTTTCAATAGATGAACATGAAAGCAGTGACAGCAGTGTATTGGATAACCCTTTCTGTACTGTTAGTAGCTGTATTGATATAAACAGTAATGAAGTAAAGATGGATTCTAACATATGGTCAGAGGATGTTAAACTAATTAATACTGATGGAGAGAACACAGATTCTTGTTCAAAGTTAAGCCATAACACTTTGGAGGCCATGTTTGGTTCGACAGTTACAGGCAAATATTTTCAATCACTTGTTCCATCCAAAGGCAGCTTTTCCATAACTCCGTCGCAATGGTCATCACTTTGTCAAGAAAGAAGAGGTCGATATTTCGCGAGAGGAAGCTGGGAACACCTTATAGCAAATGGAATAAAACACATTAATCCTTTTTGCGTTTACATGTTTAAGCATCATAAAGTTTCCATTGCAACAAAAAGACCAAAAAATACAGCATTGTTTAGAGGGGAAGGAGAGTGTAAGTTCCGGGATTGTGTGAACGTATGTAAATTTTCTATGGACTGCAACAATATCGTGCATGTGGAAGTCGGTTCAAATGTTAAACATAACTTAAAAGAGAATCACGCCCGACCTATACAAGGACATCAACGACAAGAAACAAAAAATGTATTTCAAGACGGAAAAAAACCACTGAAGCACTACTTACAAACCTTTAAAGATACACCACAAGATGTTAAAGTCGCTGGAAATTTTTCAAACTTTGGCAACACAATAAGAACATTTCAACAAATTGCACACGAATCCAGAAATCAAAACCGCTTAGATAAGAACGAATTCGAAAGTCTGTGTAAATTAAGAGAAGACATGGAGAAAGAAATAAAAGGGAAAAAAATATCAGGTTTCATACAGCACATTGCTATTTGGCCACCATATATAATGTACTGGACAGAGAATGGAGTTCGTATTTGGCACGACCTTGCAAAATCTGGCATCGTTCATTGGGATGCTACCGGGAGCATTTTAAGCCATAGAGATGATGAATGGAAATACTACTACTATGAGTTGGCGTGTTCGAATCCAGTTCCAGGACATCCGTTAATACCAGTATCAAGTATGATATCATCCCTCCATTCCACCCCTTTAGTTCGATTTTGGCTCTCTGAATTTAGACGAAGTGAGAAAAAAATATATGGTCATGCCAACACATCAAAACCTTACCAAATTAACAGTGACAGAAGTCTCGTCTTCATACAAGCAGCACTATCGGAGTTTAATAATGAAGATCTCAATACGTTTAGGACTCGATCATTCAGAATTATCAACGGATGCGCTAAAGATGGCGACCTCAATGGCATTTTTCCACATGCATGTCTATCTCATGTAATGGGATCTTTTAAGAAAGTGGCTTTGGATCACTACAAATCAAACTTTGACTTTGGGATGTACTGCTTCAGTGTCTTGTTGAACTCGACTTTACTGTCAGAGGTATTGGAAAGAATAAGAGCTATTTATTACATTCTTTTATCAAAAGTAGTAGATCAACAGACGATAGAATATCTAAATATTCTAGAACAAAAAATTTCATCACTTGGATTACAAGACATGGATTTAATGGACATGTGCACTGACAGCGAGTATACTGCAGACCAGGAAACATTACAACTGTTTACAGAAAACCAGAACCCAGATTTTCTTACTGAAGAAGACTTTCAAAGCAGGTCAACACGAAACGAGTTTGCATACTTGGCAGATTCTATTTTGACTGAAGTTAAAGCCGAAATCGACCAACAGTTCTTTATTGAAGTTCCAGGAAACAAGAGATATTCTCCAGTTCTAGCTGAAAAGATACACAAGTTATATATGCCAACTTTACCATTGTGGTCAAATCTGTTACTAGGGGACTTATCAAGGCATGGTACGTCAGAAGTTTATTTGAGTTTCCATCCTCCTAAAGAATGTGTTCGAGGAAATGCAAAAATTGAGAAAAGGTTTCAAATTCTAAAAGACATACAACTGCATGGCAGCACCACTAAACGATTAGATGAAATTTCAGTTAAAATTAAAGATCATATTACTACTGTACAAGAAGTTGCAGCTTTAAAGTCTGTAAAACAGGGAGGAAAACAAAAATCAAGGACAGGCCGATCCACAAAAACAGTAGAAGAGAGTTGGGACAAGAGGAAACCATCTTCACAACAAAACAAACTGATAGGAAAATTCCAAAAACCTCCTACGCAAAAAAAGATTAATCTGCTAATCGAGGGGAGCAAAGTGACACCCAAGAAACCTCCACGTACAACCAAAAAGGATACCCATATAATTGGAATTAACGAAGAGTGTACTACTGATTCCGTCACAGATGTACTCAACACAGATGATAAAAGGACAAGAATGTTCACGGAGGATTCTCTTTTTGTTACCACTACAAAAAATTTAAACAATAACAAGTATCTCTGCGAAATTTATACGGACAAATCAAGAGAGAATGATGACCCATACTATTTACAATTTATAAAAGATTCATCTACTGGTCTAGAAAATAGTGCGAACAACTGTTGGTTCAATTCTGTAGTCCAACTTTTTAGTCAAACAAAACTAATGAGAAATGTAAATGAACAATTTAATGCTCACCTATCATACGATGAGGAGATAAGAAGTGTACTGATGGTGTTTGACAAAGTTGGAAAAGGAGAAGAAGTAACTTGGAACCTAACCCACAGTGCCCTTAATGAATTGCATACAATATATGGACTGGAAATGAATCGACAAAATGATGCCCATGAATTTGTAGTGAATGCCGTACGCCATTTTATGGAACTAAATGGAGTGGATACATATATTACGGTTGGTATTTTAAAATAAAAAAAAAAATGTTTTACGGAACATCTTGCTTGCACAAAAGTTTCAAGGAAGTACACATGATGTTTCGTAATAATGTTTTCACACGTTACACATCGAAAAGGGCTTGTTGTTTATCCTTACACAATTAAGTACACAGTGTTTTAGTAGGATCGTATTCAAACGGAACGATGTCTCATCTAAAAAACACGTGTTATGTTCCTCGTATAATTTTTTTTAACGACATATGATAATATTTATTCATCAAATCTTGCTTATTACAAATTACACCGAGAGTCCAAGCTTCTCTTGATTTACCCTGTTACACTCCACTGATTATCACGGGAAATAAACAGCTGATCTAACTTATTAATTTATCAAAATAATATAAAAAGGTGTACAGTCGTCCTATACAAAGACTAATTAAAGATAAAATTCTTTTTAATTGACAATAACTTTGGACATCGTGATTTATATCTATATGTGTCTACTTTTTTTATTAAATTCATTTTCAAAAATACTAAAGACATCGACAATTGTTATTCTCTGCTCGGATAAATAATATGACTTATAAATAGAAAAACTTAGTACTGTTATTAGATAATTCAAAAAGTAATATTAACTATCTGTGATTTTATATCCAAATGCAAGATGATGCAGTTCAATAACAATGTCTATTTTTTTTCTTTTAAAGAGGTCATAGATGTTTTGCAAAAATCTAGTCAAATATGTACAATTCAGAAAATAGTGAGCATAATCTTCTTCTTGGTTACAAAAATTACACTTATCTGTCTTACTTGCTTTTCACTGCAATAACAGTTTTTTCGTTGGAACAATATAATGTAATAATTTCCATCTAAGTATTTTTAATTTATTTTCAGTCATATATTCAGAAATAAATGTATACAATGGATTCGTATTAAGAAGTTCTTGTATTGGTATGATTCTAAGTCAACTTTTTATCCCTATTGATAGCTCTAGTTTGATACTTATTAAAGAGTTATATAAAATTGTATTTGTTAATAATGTAATCTCGGTATAATTATTTTTCCATATGATCTTATTTCTCTGAATATTAACTGTAGTTTTGACAGAATTTTCTTTTTGAACAACTTGGGTCCATACTTCTGGGATAGATTTTTTTAATTTATGAAATTCAGCGATCCAGTTTATTTTGAACTTTCATATATAATATTTGCTTAAATTTCTCACAAATAAACTGGTATATGTCATTATTGATTTGCCAAATTTTTTGATATAAAAGCTACATCAATATTTTTGACCATTTCTAATATCAATAATGCGCAAAGAAATTACCAAATAGAGAATTTGATATATTGTGTAAAACATCATTTCTCATTACATATATTTATGTTGGGCAGTAGTTTTTTAACCACCAAAACAAAAGGAGCGATGGAAGTAAATTTTACGTTACTAAATTTTCGTAAAAAAGAAAAAAATTAAAGATAGGGTAAATGAAGAAGATAAATTCGATTTATAATATTGAAATTTTAAAAGTAATTCAGGTAGTGGTTAGAATAAGAATAAATTTCAATTTACAATGATTTGATTTGCAATTTGATAAGCGTATGAATATTTACAGAATTGATCATCAAGGTGTTCAACAAGCAATATCACTCTTCAGTAATGACTTTCAAATTGTGCTTTATATAATTTATCAGTTGCTCAAAATATTCCTGTAGGAAAGTGAATTATTGGTTTGGTATTTTTATTCATAATGTTTCTAATTAATTTGAAAGGAAGTAAAATGGTTATGAACATTCAGGAAACAGAATAACTGATATGATCATACCTAAGTATTGACATTTTACTACATATTTATAACTCACATTTACTTAGAATAACTATTTGCCAATTCATCTTTTTGAGCAGGTCGCAGAGGCATACATTTGTACAATTTGTGGCAGTAAACTTGGAACCGATCAACAGATTTACAGCGATTTACAACTAGCCATTGCTGAAGATGTTAAACCTCACGAGGGAGTTAAGGTAATAATATGTTAGTTATACTGGTTTGAAACAACACCATGTAGATTAACTTATCTACAACAATGAACAGTATATCTAGGTTACAGGAACAGCAAAATGGAGGATACCTGCTAAGTTGACAAGAGACCGTTAGCAGCAAGTAATATTGGAAGATGTGACTTAGCATGCATTTGAAGTCGTAAATAAAAAATATGCACTGAAATAGAGTGTATGATTTAAGAAGCATTCATAAAGACAACCCTTTTCTCAATTTTGGGACTATTAAAACACAAACAGGTATTAAAGGTAGAGGCACTACATTTGGAATCAATTAGCATAATACTTGATTGCATTAATTCGCTCTTGAACAAACATACACAAAAGGTTTTCACTTCTGTTCTCG